ATGATATTAGTTTTAATGATTAGATAGCTATTTAGAAACTTGTAATAGATAAAATGTAACTAACATTTAATGATTAAATAAAAGGTGTTTTATTTATTAGTAAAGTTACTATCTTGTGTCAATTGTTTACTATTGTTTCATTTTGCATGTTTTGACTTCCAGAATAATAAGATTATTCAAACTGTCCATAGCCGATCATACTTTGGAAGTAGGTATTAAGGTAATATTGTCATGAATTTGGCTTGTAGATTGTCTAAAGTGCTTAGACATAGCAAAATTTGCTACAACATTCATGAGTGCTCATAAGGTCTGAGTATTGGATTAAACCCATGCTCACTTGAATCACTTCATGGAATTTATCATGAGTGATCTTGAGACGATAATGTCACATAAGTCGTTAAACCAAGATATATAAGTTGTTGACTATGAGTTAGTTGTACATTGATAGTGTGGAAACGCATCAATAACTTGATGTTATAAAACACATTGTTGTGTATGATTTAACGAATAGTTAGTACAAGCATATAATGTTGAAGTTTATCTATTCCTTTAATTCTTGTAGGATTAAAAGTGATATCTTGGGCCCCTCGATGATTTTTTTTTGACTTATGTGTCGGTCCCGATCATAACTCAATTGATGTGTTCAATTAAGTTCTCTATCAAACAATTTGGAAATCGGGAAACAAATTGTTGAACAATAAGTATGATTATGTTCCATGTATTTTTCAGACTGATATCTTGAAGAACAGAGGATTATATGATCCCTTACCTAAATGGCATGTCAAAGTTTGACATAGGCTTTTAAGAGCTACGATTGCTAGTCGGTTATTTAGTCGTACTTGTAGTTATAGTTATTATACTTATTTAAGTGGGAGACTGTTGGATTAGGTGTCTAAGCCCATAACTATAATTTGTATGTACTTGACCCGAGAGTAGCCTGGTCCATTTGGATTGCATTTTACCAGAACAATCTGATAGGATGGACATTTAAGAAAGAGGTTGTTTATAAATTGCGAATATATTATAAGTATAATATATTGAGAAATCATATAATTTAATTAGTATTGATCAAAAATTAATTTGGAATTAATTTAGTAATCAAAAGAGACTAATTAAATTAATAGGGACTAATTGTGTAAGTTAGTTATATATATGGTTTGGACTTATGATACATGATGGACTAAGTTTATGAAAGAATCCATAAAGAGGTAGTCCATATGCATCATAGATCGTGGATAATAAGCCCAAGGGTATGGATTAGGATTTAACCATGACTCTTAGAATCCTACTATATATACATGTTACCATATAGCTAAAATTGGTAAGCACATATGTTCTAAGAGTCCATAGGAGCCGATTTTTGTGCAAGATACTCTCTCTCAAGTCCTCCATTGTTGATGGTGTTTTGTGAAGCATTCGAGGCATCGTATTTGAGGTGCTAAGCTTTTAAAGGCCAAAGTTAACTAGCTACAACAAGAGGTAAAGTTTCTAACTAAATGTATTGTTCAATTGTCAAATTGCATGCTAGTTAGGATATGTGCTTTGGAAAATTGAAATTGCATGTATAATTAGAGAAAACTTAATCCAAAGCATTTAGGGTTGCATGTGCACCATAAGAGTGTTATAGTGCTCAAAACCCTTCAGATGTAATAATTGGCAAACAAATCTACATGTTCTAATAAGTGAAACCTGAAAATGCTACATGTCCATTTTCTAGCATTCATTTTTGACAAGTGACAATTTTCTATGTTTTCTAGTATATATATGTTTTTTTTTTGTAACAAATCAACTTCAATTAAAATTTTAAAAATACAAAATCTTATTCATAATAACATTTTCGAAATTTATAATAAAATATTATGTTTATTTTACCTAACAAATTTATTCATAGATCAGAATTATTTACAATGAATAATACACTGATCTTTTTTACATTAATTATATTTTTATCTATTTATCTATATAATAATTTTAATCATGATACCGTGGTTTACACGGATTATAACCTAGTTGGTTTGAATATTTAATACTTTTCTATAATCATCACATAATAATGAGTTTGTTAGTATTTGTTTCATAAAAGAAATCGTGTATACCTTTTGACTACTACATTGTACTTTCTAATGATTAATGAAACCAATTGGTCTTGAATGTTGTATGTTTAATTTTATATAAGTAATTTGTTGGTACTTTTTTTTTGTTAAACAAAATTGGTATTTTTCAATTGCAACTTCTTTACTTTAATCTTTAACTAGTAAGTGAACCTGTGGTAAACCACGGGTCGGATCGGATCGGGTAGGTTTTTTTGTTGGGTTTTTTCTATTTAACTCATAACTCATAATATGATTTTAGTGCAACACCTGATGAATTCATGTCAATAGACACATAAGTTGTACATATACTAACATAATAATACGTGTATAAAATAATTACAATATATCGAGTTGCGGCTATATATTAACTACCATCAACCAAAACCCTATAATACTAACAACAAAAACTAACACCAAATCATCACCATCATCATGATCAATTCAAAAGATATAACCAAAAGCAACAGTAAAAAACATACATACTTGTTAACAACACTCTTTGCATTTGAATCCTATGTACCTTTTCATTATATGTTGTTAAAGAACAACATTTTTCTGAATTATATCTATATCATATATTGACACATTAAATCTGTGAGAGTAATAGTAAAAAAAAAAAAAAAATTGTTGTGTGGTTCCCTTCTTTCTTTCTCCTTGAAGTTTCGATATTTTATTGTGTACTTAATTCTCATATGTCTTTTTCCTGTAATAACTTAAAACCAATTTTATCCTTGCAATTTCTTCAAGAAGTATAAAGAGATCAAAAAATTCCAATTTTCATACATTTTCAAATGAAATCAAGTCAACATCATAATACATGTTGGTATTGCAGGAACAATTGATGCTTCTTGATGTGATTCAGTTAAACCAAATGCATACTCTGGATGAATAGTTAACACTGCAACTTCACCTTTCTTCATACTTCTAACTTGTTGTATCATTAAAGAAAAACAACACCATGTCATTGTTAGCTCGTGTTTTTCATTTTTCTTTTTAAACACCAAAATGATACTCACCTTCATCTATCTTGAACTGAAGTGGTGTCTTACTGTGTCCTTTATTCACAAACGGAGTTCCATCTTGGAGTTTCCCAACCAATTTCATTATAGAAAAAACAATAAGAGCACCACAAGTTTCACTTTTTGTCCATGTGGGATAAGTTCCCATACCACCAATTTGCTCATCCTCCGTCTAGCATTCCTAACTCTCTGCGGCATCTGAATAATCAGAAAACCAAACACAAAACTTGACATTAAACACAATAAATAGTATGTAATGTCACATATAATAAAAATTATAAAACAGTAGGCAGTTGGTTCCTAAACACTGTTAAATGGATATACAGTAGCTTGTATGACCAAAAATCAGTAAAAAAAAAATTCAGCATTATAACTCAGATTTTTTTTTAGAAATCTAACTAAACATATTAACGACTCATTCCTTTCTTCAATATGAAACGACAAAATAAGTAAATATTATAGTAAAATTTCATTCATAAGTAAATATTATAGTAATGTTTCGTTCATAACTAAAGCTTTTGATCAAGAAATCACTCCTTTTGTTGTTCCTTTTTATCAAGAAATCACTCATTTTTTGTTTTTTTAAACTCTAAAATAAAAGTTTTGTTCATAACTGAATTCAAGGAATTTACTAATTAAATCAGCAAATTCAAAGAAAATTATTTGATGGTGTCACAGCATGATTCCACTGGGTGATAATAGTCTTTAATCTTTTACTTCACGAATCCATTAGAAAATATGTTGACCACATGTACTAAAGTTTTCAATTGAGAGTAACATATATTTTGAAATAATATTTAATGATTTTGGAATGTGGAATAAACTCGTTGAACAGATAACCACACGTGGGAAAAGTTGATGATCTATAGAGTGGCAGAACTAAGAAACATTTTGTCATTTGAAGCATCCGTGGCATCCATGTGTAATAACAACTGTCTTGAAGTCGAATTTAAATTGGATTCAACCCGCTATAGCATTTCAATAAGCACAACCTCATCACCTATACAAAATGACAAAAACAACCCTCAATATGCTGTTAAAGAACATTGTATGCGTATATATTTGGATCAGAAAACTAAGAATTAGATAATAGATATGCTGTTTAAAGAACCTACTATAGCATTTCAATAAGCACAACCTGATCACCCTATACAAAATGACAAAAATAGCCCCCAATATGCTGTTAAAGAGCATTGTATGTGTATATATTTGGATCAGAAAACTAAGAATTAGATAATAGATATGCAAACGAACCTTAAGAAAATGGTGATGGACCATCATTCTTCAATAATTTGTGTATGTTCTTCCATGCGAGTTGGACGCCTTTATTTAGTGACAGTAAATTAATTAGGGCAATTTTTTTGTTGTTGGAAATTCTACATAGATATGATTGTTGGTCCTATGGTTGTCTATTGCTGTGAATTGACAGAAATCTAAGTGTCATGTGGATTCTTACCTGTATGAATGACGCATGAGATTGAAAAATAATTATACAATTTGCGTTCAAGCAGATCGGGAATGCAACATCCTCTTGAATTTTGAATTCAAAAGTGGGGTTTAAGATCTTAGAAGGTCTGAAAAAAGAAAAATCTATTGTTCCTACACATTTTTGATGTTTGGTTTGTACGATAACGAAATAAACAATCTTCAATTTCTGATTTCTATAATAACAACCAAAAAAATCTGATGGAGGTGGAAGAGCATCGGAATGAAGAACACCATCAGAGCATATTATCTGCCCAATCCCAAAATCATGAACAACAAAACCACAAATTGTAAAATATTAGGGCTCACATGAAGAACCGAAGTCTTCAACACCAAAAACCAGGGTAAACAATTAGACATCGAATAAGGAATTTGTAAAATCAAGAGTAATTTTCAAGTGTTTTCATGGAAAATTGTAATCAACATATGATTTTCTTTGAAAATTGTTCTGCGTAAGTGTTCTAGGATAAAATAGACCATTGATTTCTCCTTCATTGAGCAATTCCTTACCTCCATCGCAATCACCATTATGTTGGTTCCCCGATTTTGCTTCACATGAATTAAAATTCTCCAGCACATCCACTGCCACATGAATTAAAATTCTCCAGCACATCCACCGCCCATGCAAAGTTCCACTGTAAAAAATAAAACTCCAAACAGTAGACGGCGACATCTCCGGTGGAATTAAATTCACTGCATCTTCATATTCTTCACAACAAAAAGTCAATTGAACTAATAAATTAACAGACATATGAAAAGGAAATAAGTAGTAATTCAAAGAATCAGATATACACAATGGATTTGAAATATCTTATGGCTCATAAGAGATGGAATTCAAACCCAAAATTCCTGGAGGAAAATATGTCTTAAATGTCAAAGGAAGGCAGTCGAAAAGGAAGAATGATGAAGTTCAAAGATTTTAGAGAAATATATGAAAAGCGTTATTGGTAAGAGTATACGATCTGGGAAGACATATGTTGAAATTTGAAGGACAAAAGTCAATTACTACAAATTATTGTGGTTAAAATCTGAAACGGGAATTTGAAGGATAAAAGTTAATTACTGTAGATTAATGTGGTTAAAATCTGAAACAGATAAAATTTACTATTCATAACCACGATGGGTTTTAATATAAGGATAATGACTTGAAAGGGTAACGAACTTTCGATTTTTGTCACATTTAGTCACTAAACTTTTTTTCATTATCTATTTGCCATTGAACTATTGAAACTGTTCACATTTTACCCTTATGACCGGCTGTTACCGGTCATAAGGGTAAAATGTGAACAGTTTCAATAGTTTAGTGGCAAATAGATAATGAAAAAAAGTTTTGTGACTAAATGTGAACAAAATCGAAAGTTCGTTTCCCTCTAAAAAGTTCAATAACTAAATGTGAACAAACTTCCTATTGTATTATGTTTTAGCAAAATTATTTATTTTTGTTTAATTGTAGCAACATTTGTTGATGAAGAAATCTATGAAATAAAAATACAGTGGAAACACCAGCAAGCCCATAACCTGTAGGTGATGAATTACGAGTTCAGGCGATGTTGTAACTACGTATTCATGTGATGATACTCTAACTCCTTACTATGAATTACGAGTTCTGACGATGTTGTAACTACATATTCATGGGATGTCACAAATTTCGCATATCAAACCAATGGTTATAATTCATATCAGTGAGAATGGTTCATTTTTTTGTAAAACCAAAATCAGATTGGAGATTTTGATTTTTTATTTTGGGAAATGTCAAACCATTGGTTTTTTATTTCGGTTTTGGTTTTTTGTTTTTTTTTTTAAATATATTTTCAGGGTTTTGTTTTGTTTTGTTTTTATTTTATTTTATTTTTTTTTATTTCATAGATTTCTTCATCAACAAATGTTGCTACAATTTAACAAAAATAAATAACTTGCTAAAACATAATACAAGAGAAGGTTTGTTCACATTTAGTCATTGAACTTTTTAGAGGGAAACGAACTTTCGATTTTGTTCATATTTAGTCACTAAAATTGTTTTCGTTATCTATTTGCCATTGAACTATTGAAATTGTTCACATTTTACCCTTATGATCGGTAACAGCCGGTCATAAGGGTAAAATGTGAACAGTTTCAATAGTTCAATGGCAAATAGATAACGAAAAAAAATTTAGTGATTAAATGTGACAAAAGTCGAAAGTTCGTTATCCTTTCAAGTCATTATCCCTTTAATATATGTATATAATTATTTATGCATATATCAAACTGACGTGTTTGTTTATATTCATTTGTTACAGTGATCTTCCAAGAATCAAAAGACAAAAACTGAAAAAATATATTTTTAATTATTACGTAGTATTTCAATATCTACTATTATCAGTGATTTTTCATCTTAGAAAACTAATAAGATATATATTTTTATAAATAATTTAAAGAGTTGTATTATAATTTTTTCTTTAAACAACCACGGACCAAAAATACATTTGGACTGATCTTATCAAAAGCAGACCTGTATCGGTTCCTTTTCCGAACCTTATTAGTTCATCCTTAAAGCAAGTAGACTATATATTCCAGCCCTGACATACTCTTGCGGTTTAGTAACTTGTGGCCCAATTTTTGTAGTTGGCCCGAATATGTAAAATGCTGCATATAAAAGTTAATTGGACTTGCCCAATTTCTGACTTGCCTGTTAGAATATGTTTACTTCTCATTTTCCAACCTTATGATTTGATTTTTTTTATCTTTTGTTGTTTTTTTTGTTGTTTTTTTTTTCCTATTTTGTTTTTTTATTTTTTTTTAAATTTATTATTATTATTATTATTATTATTATTATTATATTTTAATATATTATTATTAGAAATAAAAAATATTTAAAAACCGATTTATATAGCCATTCGAATTTATATTTTTATCCGGATGTTTAAATTTTGTGCGAAATTTATAACAATAACAACAACAACAACAACAATTATTATTATTATTATTATTATTATTATTATTATTATTAGTAGTAGTAGTAAAAAAGAATTAAAAATAATGAAAAAAAACAAAATTGAAAAAAAACAACAAAAGACAGAAAAAGAAAAAAATAATGTCAAATCAAATATCAAAATTTTGATTTGATTGATTTTAGAGGGTAAAAATGGTTAAGGGAGTACTTATTATACAACCTTTATTTCTATCCAACATCTTACAGAAAACAAAATATTTTAGACTTGATGTTACTTAGTACATTTAATGCTATTTGTTTTTCTAAATAAACCACTTTTGATCATTTTTTGATCCACCATACATAACACACAAGACACTTGATTTTTTATGACTATTTTTTTTAATAGATTTTTAACTTAAAAATTGTTGAATGTTTGTTGCGTGACGCAATACTGGACCATCTTCTTCAAACATTTTCTCATCTTACTTTAAGTTATATTATTCTACATAAAACGATTTTATTTTTTTCAACATGTTTATTATTTTAATAATATTATAAATGATATTATAAACCATTCGAGTATATTTTATATAATTTCAAAACCATTTGATTATATATATATATATATATATATATATATATATATAACAAAATATTAATAAATTACATAGTTAATCAATAATATTGTAAATTCTATTATAACTAACCGAAGAAATAACCAAAATCTTGGAAAATTTAGCAAATGAACATCTTTATTAAATTAATAATTTTATTTATTGTTATTTTACAAAAATAAATTAATTTGATTATTTTGATAAAAAAAAGTAAATTATTGAAATCATTTTTATGGGTTGATCAAAATTACATATTAAGTTTGTAATTTTTATTTTGCATTGAAAGTGATCGTTCTTGTGTTATCATTTTATTGTGCTTTTTCATCACGGTAAAAATGAAAAGAACTATATTCCCTTTATTTTTTCTTTTTCAGTTTTTTATTTATTAATTGTATAATAGAAATAATGTAATTATATAATATCAAAATTCCATTTTTTGTCCAACTTCATTTTATGATGTTAAACTTAGTATTTTTAGTTTTTTATTTTTTAAACCTTATTTTTGTATAAAAAAACTAAATATATCAAATTAATAAATTATTGTCCTCTATAAATAGATATTTATATTATTATATGATTTTTATTTCAGCTCGTGCATATTTAGATTATGAATCATAGAGTAGTATTTGTTCACATAAAAATATATAAGATTGATTTTACTTAATGTTGTCGTATCGTTTTTGTATGTGGATTGATCCTCATAACCATTAAACTGGGAAAAAAAGGTTCCAGATATGTTAAAATATATTATCATTTTACATGTAGTATATGTACTTTGAATCTAAATTCATTTAGAATACTCGGCATTGTATAAGTTTAAGTATCTTTCTAAAGGTGTAAGCTTATACTATTTTTTTTCCAAAGGTGTAAGCTTATACTATTTTCAAAGGGATAGAGTAGTTATGATAGTAGGTGGCATGAGTTGTATTTATGATTCAAAGACATGTCAAACTTTCAAGGTCCAAATTGAAACAAATAATGATTGGGGCACAAAAAGTGAGAAATGATATGTTGTTAGGTAGAGCAACATTAACCACTAATCTTCACAGCCTTTGAATTTCGTTACTCACATCACATATTTTAAGCAAAATTTTCAACTACTTCACGTAAATGTTTTTTTTTTTTTTCTTTTTTTTTTTTAACCAAATCGGTGTATTTGAAAAAATTATTTACTAAAGGGTATAATTTTAAACTTATTACCAAACAAGTTGGTTTAGCGATTTAATCTACAAAATCACGCACTAACTCAATTGTTATTGTGTGAATCCATCATGTACGCCACACCAGACATCCTGCGCAAACCTATCTCCGGCCACACAAGAATCTGCATTCTGATATTTCGAACCGACTTCATTTTTTTTTTCTTCAAATTAACAGAGAAAATAAGGAATTTACATAGAAGATGGATGTCGTGAAATCATTGTACATAGTGGTGGAGGATGCTTTTGAGGCGATGAGGACCAGAAAAGGAATGAAGAATTGTCATTTAGGTACACATGTTATGTTCTTCAAGCACTTTTTGTAGTTGATGCTTTGTAAAGCGCATCAAGCCATGGCCGTTCACCAGTTTCATCTGTTGTTCTTATATTTTAACTTGTTGCTTTTATATTATTTCTTCTTTCTTGTGAAATTGAATGAAAGATGATAGTTAAGATGACATCTTGTTCACTTGTGAACCATCCAAAAGATCCACTTCTTAGATCAAAGCCTATACTTATGATTCATTCTACTTTTGCATGTATATTTCTATTGCTATTTTTCTCCATTAAACAAACCCGCACTGAACAAATCTGTTTCTCTTACCAAATTAGCCAAAGTGTCTTTGAAATCATGAGAAATGAATGCCTAGGGGACACTTTAGTTGCTATAGGTATCATCAAAACAAGAAATTATTTCTTACAAGTTCACTCTGGTAAAGGAAACAACCGTGTGACTAATACCTTCTGAGAGTTTTTAATCCAAATCTTGTGTCTTACTAGAGAACTAGGCGAATGTCTGTGCGTTGTATAGAAACACCTATATAGTTGAAATTTTCATAAATATATGTTTTCTTAAATATAACAATGACGTTGTTGTTAAATTTAATATCATAATTCATATACTAAGTTGACATAATATATTGATTATTTTGAATTATATGATAATATATATATATATATATATATATATATATATATATATATATATATATATATATATATGAATTATGATATCAAATTTAACAACGTTATTGTTATTATATATATATATATATATATATATATATATATATATATATATATATATATATATATATATATATATATATATATATCTTATAATTGTATAATCTTAATTGTTTGAATGACTTCTACCCGTAAGTTACACATGAATAAAATTAAATATAATATATGGTTCAATGTTATGTATAGTTGTTGTTATTGTTAATTAATTTTTTTAAAATTATTTG